GGCGGAGGTCTCAGCGGCCTCTACTCCCTGCTCAAGATTCGCAACCTGGGTCTCCGAGTAAAAGTGCTCGAGGCTGGTGAGGCAGAAGGCGGAACCTGGTTCTGGTAAGTCTTTCTTTACAACCACCAGCACAATCCTTCGACCCCCGACTGACTCCTTCCCTCACAGGAACCGCTATCCCGGCGCCCGGTTCGACTCCGAGTCCTTCAGCTACATCTTCTCCTTCTCACAAGAACTCCTCGACGAGTGGGACTGGACCGAGCAATTCTCGCCGCAGCCCGAGACCCTCCGATACATCCAGTTCGTGACCAAGAAATTCGACCTCAAAAAGGACATGATCTTCAACACCCGCATCCAGTCCGCCCAGTTCCAGACACCCTCAAACCACTGGGTCCTGACCGACCAGTCCGGCAAGACCTACACAACCCGCTACGTCATCACGGCCATGGGCATCCTCAACCAGCCGACCCTCCCCGACATCCCCGGCGTCGAGACCTTCAAGGGCCAAGCCTGGCACACGGCGCGCTGGCCAGACAACTCAGCCTCCCAACTAGCCGGCAAGCGCGTGGGCATAATCGGCACAGGCGCAACAGCAATCCAGACCATCCAAGAGATCTACAAAGACGTGGGCTCGCTGACCGTCTTTCAACGAACCCCCAACTGGACGGCTCCCCTGCGCAACTCCAAAATCACACCCGAGGAAATGGCCGCCATCAGGAAACGCTACCCAGACATCTTCCAAAAATGCCTAGAATCCTACTCCTGTTTCGTGCACATGGTCGACCCCCGCAAGACGACGGAAATGACGCGCGAGGAGCTCTACGCCAAATGGGAAGAACTCTACGCGCTGCCTGGATTCTCAAAGGTTCTTGGCGTTTCGGGCGACATTTTCACCGACCCGGCCGTCAACAAGATGTACTCTGACTTTCACGCCGACAAGATCCGCGCCCGAATTCACGACCCCGTCTTGGCCGAGAAACTCATCCCGAAATGTCACGGCTTCGGTACCCGGCGAACCCCCCTCGAGAGCGGGTACTACGAAGCCTTCAACCAGCCAAACGTGCACCTGGTAGACATCAAACACGACGACCCCATCGAGCGGGTAACAGAAAAAGGAATCCTCCTCAAGTCCGGAGTTGAGCACGAGTTCGACATTCTCATCTACGCAACAGGATTCGACGCGGTAACTGGCTCTTTCAGCGCAGTCGACTTTCGCGGTGTAGGCGGCCATCCACTCAAAGACACTTGGAGCTCCGGGATCCAGACCTACCTCGGCCTGACGGTCAAGGGTTTCCCCAACATGTTCATGGTCATGGGCCCGCACCAGATGTTTGGCAATATTCCTAGGAGTATTGAATATGCGGTGGACTGGGTGGCGGATTACATTGATTGGGCGCGCAAGAATAATGTTACGTATTGTGAGGCACGGCAAGAGAAGATGGACGAGTGGTATACCCATGTTGAAGATTGTGGGAAGGGATTGCTGAGTAATAATGTGGATAGTTGGATGACGGGTGTTAATAAGAACTTGAAGCACAAGCAGGTGAGGAGTTTGACGCGGTATAATGGGCCTGCGCCGGGGTATCGGCGGAGGTGTGACGAGGTCAAGGCAAGGGGGTATAGTGATTTTGTCTTGGCCTAGATGAGGGAGTCAATGGCCGAGGTTACCAATTTTAGTTTAACAGCGTTTCACCCAGGATTCAAAATCTGTATCTTTGGCTTGTTTTCAATCATAGACTGTCGTGCAACAATCCTGGTATTGACCAAACAGTCAAACACTCAGTAGCCTCTTCATCCTCCTCACCCCCGCGAAGCCAACATTCCCGTGTCCCCATGACACCCAACATACTCAAAGAACTGCTGCCCCTCCTCCAAAACCATAACCTCGTGAAAGACCCTCAGCGTAACATTGTTCCCCAGCTGCTGGGCATACCGAAAGAAGCCCCCAAAAATAGCCAAATGCGTCTCGTGCTCTTTACTCCACCGTTCCAACGAAGCCAGCTCGTCAAAATACGCCAGCCCAAAAGTCCGATCCGTCTTTTCCGTCTCGGAGTCGAGAACATGCATGAAACGACAGCTATAACATCCGACTTCTTCTTTGCCGTGGTTTTGCAAAAAGTCCATGCCTTTTTGGAGAATGGGGTGCATTGTTTGGAGATAGAGTTTTCGCTCCTCGGGCGTCGTGGTGCTCCAGTCTTGGCCTGATCTGATTATTGCCAGGTTTCTGTGTCTTGGAATTGTGATTCTTTTCTTTCGGTGGTCAGCGTTTGAGTCTGTTAGCTGGGATGGCGAAGGGAGACGAGTGTTGTTCGCTGATAACACGTCCGTCTGAGACAAAGGGATCCGGTCACGCATACTCCCCCAGTACCCGTGTTCTTGGACAGCCGAGCTCATGCAGGCTCCTGCGAAATGGGAGGATCCCTCGCGCGCAGAGTCAGTGTTGAATAGGGTCTCGAAGCGGTCGGTGGTTGGGGACAAGATCTCGAGGAACCACCCTGGACCCTGATCCAGATCATCGTCTTGGGAGTCTGCATCCGCGTCAAGGCCATCCCACCAGGCCTTGAATCCCGAGGAGGAGGCCCATGATTCGTACGAGGACTTGCCGTCCCAGTATGCTAGCGCGCAGAGGTTGTAGTAGCCCCGGTTGTCGGTCACGGACGCCCACTCGACGAAGCTTGGAGGGGTACTGGGCCTGGTCGAGGCTAGGAAGGAGGAGATGGCTGCGTGGGAGGTAGACACAGCGACACTTGTGGGAGAGACCGAGGGCCTGTGCTGGGAGCCGACGATGGCTATGACGAGCTGGGAGACGTCTTGCGGGAAGCGGACGCTGAAGCCTGGGTAGGGGGGTTGGAAGGATGGAGAGGGCAGGCGGGCTGGGATGCTTCGTGGGCATTGCAGGTGGTCCGCGACGGAGGACTCGAGGGCAGATATTGTGAGTGACCAAGCGTTGCAACTGCTCGTGTGCTCGAGTCCCAGAGAATCATGCCGAGTTTTATCCATGACTTCTAGTCTGTGTCACATGCAAGCTGACATATCCATACCTCAGAAGAGCCTCATCATCAGCTGTCGTTGCTGCCCGACACCCGACTGAGTGGGGTGACACAGCTAGTCGACTTTGAGGTGACACGCGCGGGATCTGCCGTTTCTGTGAGATAGCACGTTTCTGATGTATCAACACCACGAGTGGATGCGAAGCAGCACCAACCGCACTGCAAGCCGATCAAGGTGTGGTCTCACGAACAGCGCCACAAGGTTGGACTTTTGGCCCTGAATGGTAGCTACCCCGCTTCAATCCACGACTGAACGAGCTGGCTCCCTTGTCCTCTTGTTTTACCGTATTGCCTCTTTTGGCTCTATGTGACATGTCAGAGTCAGACCTGCCCGACCGGGACGACAACCTCCTTCTGCCGCTTATCAACCCCCAGCCACAACAAATCGGGCCTGCTATAGTGCCCGACGACATCCAAGAACCCCCTCGTAGCCACCGTCCTCCCCATATCCAAGTCAGCATACACAATTCCCTCCTCCGTCCCCGTCCCATCACCAATCGGCGTCGTCAGCCGTCGTCCGTCTGGGCCAATGACACAGCCATGTCCCCCTCCCCGCTCGCGACACACAATCCCGTCTTGCGTCTTCATTTTCTCAATACTGCCCTGATTACAAACCCCAGTCGTATGCAGCACAAAAGCAGCGCTCTCAACCGCATACGTCTGTGACAAGCTCTGACAACCCTCAACAGACATGCTCCACAGCCCGGGGTCATCAACCCCAGTAGACGGTGCCAAAGGCGGCCACATAGCCACGTGGACCTGCTCGCCCTGCGAAATGGTATGATACTTGAGCAGCGGCTGTGTATGCTCCCAGCAAGCAAGGCTTCCGATTTTGATCTTGCCATGGTCAGGTCCAAAGTCAATCTCGACTACGTTATTCAGGTCTCGTCCAGAGCCGTCGCCAAAGATGGTGCGCTCCATATGTGTTGGCTTGATTTTCCGCCGATGGGTGAGCATCCCGCCCTGCGGCGAGATGATTGCTTGCGAGATGTAGACGCTGTGGGTAGGACTCTTCTCCGAGAAGCCCAGGACCACGGCGATGGAGCTTTCCTTGGCTGCTTTCTTGAGGAGATCCATTTCGGGGGAGTCCACCGAGAGCGAATTGGTGATGTACCGAGTTTGCATCTCGACGTCGACTGGGCGGGCCCTGTGAGTGATGGCGAGAGGAGTTAGGAGGATATGCAGTCCTGGGTATAAGGATAGACCCGACCAAACTCACCAGATCCAGGCAGGATAGCCCGGGATCCAACATTCGGAGAATGCGACGAGCTTGGCGCCGCCTTTGCCTGCTTCCTCGATGAGCTCACATGCCTTTTTGACTGATGCCGCGAGGTCTAGGTAGACAGGCTCTGCCTGGACACTGGCGACTCGGATTGGGGAAACCATTGGGGCCGTTGATTTCCGTCTATCTAATGTTTGTTGAGTTTCGGAGTAGTGAGGACAAAGAGCCAAAGTGAGTGAGCATGCAAGAATGTCAGTTTCTTGTCTGGCCTTTTGCAAAGCGGGAAGCGCGGATATCTCGTTGTTGAGATCGGAAGATGGCGGCGTTACACAGCAGGTCGACTGCGAACGTACCAATGGGAAGACCGTAACTCTCTTGATGGTGCATGCCAAATATGCAGACTTCCTATAATGGTACCTGTCTACTCAAAAGTGGGTTTTGAAATTGATCAACTTGGCTAGGTAAGCCGCTGCTTGAGAATGCAGAATCTTGGTTGAAACTCTACGTCTTTCAAACAATACTATCTGTCAAACAACAGTACTTCCTGGGTGGTTTCAGCAAAGCGAGCGGCTACATACATGCACCCAAGACGTTTCTCCTTGCTAGTTTGAGGCGACATGACATCTGCATCCCTCTTGTCTACCAAGACGGACGGCAACATGTATGTAACATTGATACAATACTAGGAAATCCAGCCATCTCATCAACAAAGAATGATCCAATTCAATGGTTGTGTAGCCTAGTGGTCCAAGGCGTCTGCTCTACGGACAGGCGAACTGAGGTGACGGCTGGTGGCGGCACGTTGAGCACCAAAGAAAGAACTTGAAGAACAGTGACTTAAGAGAAGCGCTGGGAATGCGGGTGGGAATGCGCTTCCAATTGAACCCCGTGTGGAAATTCATGGTATGGATCACGATGCGCGCGATACAGGTACGGCCCTTTCGGTGAAAGGATGCAGAAGATCGCAGGTTCGAATCCTACCACGACCAATATTTTTTGGGTTTGATTTCCTTTATTATTCCGTTTTAGGCCATCTGATATTTTGTTTATTTTGTTCCTTTTTATAGGCAACTCTTTTTTGATCAAAGAGTTAGTTACCTTTTAGGCCTTCCTCTCCTGTCCCTATATAATATGTGATTACCTGGTTAGTATAGGTTGAAGTCAACGATGTAGCTGAATTACCCTTTCCTAGCCTAGTTCAAGACCCATTAGAACCTTAACATGCGGTATTAGCCTGGCTTGTCTTAGAACTTGAAGTAATGGCGTACAGAGGCCCGTCTAAGCCTCGCACACAGGTAGTTAACAGACTTCATCAGGTCTCTGCCACACTCATACTTGCATCCTATGCGGTCAGCAGGTCCGCGGTGGCTTCGACGCAGAGCATGTTGGACGTTACCCACCCATGCGTCCTAGACTCAACTTTGGTGGTCTAGTAAATGGAACTGCATCTTTACTAACAAGTCGACTTGGTAATTCTTTTTGCTGACTCCCTGATCTGTAAGACCACAATCGAGTGACAGGACGGTCCAGTCAAGATTCGAAGAGGTATAGCTTTGTAATTCGGCGTCAAGAGGTGGACCAGCCTGTTCACTGATTGGCAACGTCCAACGGATATCTCCGTTGGCTTTGGACCCCGAAAAGCCACACGGCAATCGAGAACATCTTGGCATCACCCGATTTGGAATCTTGAGGGCTACAAGCAATCAGTTCGCCAGAATATCGCTGACCGAATCCTCGGTAGTTGGTAAGTGGCTTGCACAGCCAACCTATGACATTCCTCATATGCAAGCATGGGCTTGGCTTTGGTCCCTTGGTCCCTTGGTCCCAGGGTGATGGGACTGGGACTCGGCAAGATCTGAGCATCCTCATGGACAGGTATGTACACGCTCCTAGGACATATAGACGAATCATAAGACCAGACTTACTTCATGATTCCATGCCCTACCATGCAAATGTGCCGTGTCTACTGGAATCCTTTTTTGGACCCTCTCCGACAATAACCTCCACAAGATGTTATTACGTTGAAATCTGCACCAACTCAGCTGCTCCCACCATTAAATGCTCGTAATCATGCAGTTATTCGGACAAGCAAGTTGCAAAAGTTCTCAACACCAACGCGTATTAGTGTAGAGGCTGCGGCTCAGGGTAGTATTATTGAGTCCAACACACGTTCCAGGCCGCCGATAGCGTTAATATTGTGCCTCGCTGTTTCAATTCTCCGTGGGTATTTTTGCGCGTCAATATTTCAGCATTCGGTAGTTAGGTTGCCCGAGAGGTTAGCACGAGGCAAGAACATTGGTGTTGACATATATGTAGTCCAGGCCGTCCAGTGAGCAACATCTGCCTTGAAATCCAGTCTTGATCGTCATTCTTTCCTGTCTGATCCAAGAAATAACCAACAAAGCCTTCAGAAAGCAATTAACTGAGTCAGCTGTTCTTCAACCGCCAACTGTGACAAGACATCAGATTACAAAAAGCAAAATGCCAGACATGGAGAAGAACAACAGTAGTACTCCCACAATGGATGAGCAGGAACCTCTGGCGGTGGTGGGCATGGCCTTCCGACTGCCTCGGGGGGCGGTGGACGATATCAGCTTCTGGGAGGCCATGGCCGCCCGAAAGAATGCCATGACAGCTTGGCCAGATGACCGACTGGGACTAAAGGAAGGTGATCAGAAAATAGGCAAACTGAACGTCTCTGGCGGCCACTTCATCCAAGAGGACCTGGCCGTCTTTGACGCCCCCTTTTTCTCCATCACCGCCAAGGAGGCCATCGCTATGGATCCGCAGCAGCGATGGGCTCTGGAGGTTTCGTATCATGCTTTTGAGAATGGTAGGCTTCCGACTTGCTATCCTCATTTGTCGCAGAGGCTAACCGAGTGTTTGTGTGTAGCCGGAATGCCCGTCGAGTCCCTCCGGGGCACCAAGACGGCCGTGTTTGCAACAACCTTCTCGGACGACTACACCCACCTGTCGGTCATGGATCCGCACGATGCTCCGCCCCAAGCCGCAACAGGCAACTCTCGTTCCATCTTTGCCAACAGAATCAGCTGGAACTTTGACCTACGCGGGCCGAGTGTCTTCGTCGACACGGCATGTTCCTCTAGCGTCACCGCATTGGACCTCGCCTGTCAGACGATCCGGAACGGAGATGCGTCAAGCGCCCTTGTGGTGGCGTCGAACATGATGCTCAGCCCGGAGTTTTCCCTTGCCATATCCAAGCTGGGCATAATCTCGCCGAGTGGACGGTGCTGGAGCTTTGATGCCAGGGGCGACGGGTATGCTCGCGGCGAAGGCGTCATTGCCTTGGTCGTCAAGCCACTGAGTGCAGCGTTGCGAGATGGTGATACTATCCGGGCTGTGGTTCGGGCGACAGGGACGAACCAGGATGGACGCACGCCAATCATGATGCAGCCGAGTGCGGCTGCCCAGGAGGAGCTGATCAGGAGGGTCTATGCCAAGGCTGGGTTGGGCCTTGAGGACACGAGATATTTCGAGGCACATGGTAAGTTTGGCATCTAATTGTTTCAGTCTTTACGACATGTACTAACACTCTAATATCAAGGTACGGGAACTCCCACGGGCGATCCCATCGAGATGTCGGCGATCGGAAGCGTCTTTCAGAGCCATCGGTCCCGCAACGAGCCCCTATATGTGTGAGTTTCTGTGTTGGCGGCGAGCACCTATATATGCCTTTGGTCCTGGAAATCAAGTACTAATCTTTCGCATCACACCAGTGGCTCTGTGAAGGCAAACATTGGCCACCTTGAAGGAGCCAGTGGTCTCGCCGGCCTCGTCAAGTCGATCCTATCGCTCGAAAAGGGAGTCATCCCGCCCAACGCTCTGTTTGAGACGTTGAATCCCGCCATCGATGCAGATGGAATGAATGTCCGGGTATGCATCACCGAGCTCACGTTCGCTCGTTTTTAAGTACGACCAGGTGACTAATAAGAGCTCATAGGTTCCGGTTGAATGTATCCCCTGGCCTTGCCAAGGACTTCGCCGTATTTCGGTCAACTCTTTTGGATTCGGCGGCAGCAATGCCCACGTCATTCTCGATGATGCCTTGCACTACCTCCAAAGCCAGGGGTTGACAGGGTACCATCTTGTGACTAATAGTACCTTGAAGTCCCCAACCAATGGCATCACCAACGGAACGAATGGCACGAATGCCACAAACGGTACTTACAATGGCAACAACAGCTGCAGTCACAGCATCGGCCCAAGCAAATCGGGCACACCCAGACTCCTCGTCTGGAGCGCGGCCGACTCCAACGCTCTTCGCCGGATGGTAACCTCATACCAAGACTACTTCCACGCCAACGTTGCCGGTCAAGAGGAGAAGCTCTCCCGACTTGCCTACACGCTGGCCGCCAGACGAAGTGCCATGTCATGGCGTACCTTTGCCGTGGTAGACGACTCTTTTGACACAACTTACAACGACCAAGAAGTCGAATTGCCCGAGGAAGCCGACCTCAGCATCAAAAACACGCCTCTCCCCACTGAGCCCTTCACGAGGACGTCTGTATCCACTGAAGGGCATGATGGAATGGTGTTCGTCTTCACCGGCCAAGGCGCCCACTACGCGGGCATGGGCCTCCTCCTAGCCGAGCATTATCCAGTCGTTAGAGAAAGCCTAGAGACATCAGACAAGATCCTTTCCAGTCTTGGCTGCAAATGGTCCGTCTTTGACCGCCTGAATGATGCCAAGCTCATCAACCGCGCTGAATCGAGCCAGCCGCTTTGCACAGTACTACAAATCGCCTTGGTCCAGCTCCTGCGTGATGTGCTCGGTATTGTTCCGCCTGCTGCCGTGGTAGGACACTCGAGCGGTGAAATCGCCGCGGCGTATTGCGCTGGCGCCTTGTCTCATGAGGCAGCTGTCAAGGTGGCGTATTTCCGCGGCGTGGTTGCGCAGAAGCTCATTGATGCTTCTGAGGCCAAGGGAATCCCGGGAGCCATGTTGGCTGTCAATCTTGCCCCTGACAGGGTTCCGGAGTATCTGGAGGTATTTGGGGAGGATGGTGGTGGGGTCGAAATTGCCTGCTTCAACAGCCAGAGCATCGTCACCTTGTCTGGACCGCTCAAGACCATCACGGCCTTGAAGCAGATGTTTGATGAGCAGGGCATATTTGCTCGGGTTATCAATACCGGCATTGCGTATCATTCTTCTGCCATGAGGAGCGTGGTAGCCGAGTATCGCGCGTTGCTGGGATCCTTGGAAGATGACCAGAATCATGCAAGCAAGGCCAAGACCATCATGGTCAGCTCCGTCACGGGTACCCAAATTGCCTCCAAGCTATTGTCAACACCGCAGTACTGGATTGACAATCTCGTCTCCCCGGTACGTTTCTTCCAGGCCGTCACTGCGCTTCTATCAGCCGCCACAAGCAAGGACCCAGACGCTGCCTCGATAACCCTCCTCCCACCAGGGGTTGACAACCTCACCGACCTGGTCGAAATCGGCCCACACAGCGCCCTAAAATGGCCACTAACAGATACCCTCGACGCCCTCACGCCATCTGGCTCATCCAAACTACGGTACCACTCCGTTCTTGAGCGCAAATCCAATCCCCTCAACACAGTCCTCTCCCTGCTAGGCAAGCTCTTCTGCCTAGGGCACATCAACCCAGCTGTCTCGATAACTACAGGCAACCGACAAACAAAAGGCCAGATCCAAGCCCTGTCAGACCTACCGCCGTACCCATTCGACCATACAAGACGGTACTGGACCGAATCACGCATGAGCAAGGATATCTTCTCCCGCCTAGCTTTGCCCCCCGGAGAGACGTACATGCTCGGCCGAAGATCGCAAGATTGGAACCCGCTGCGCCCAAAATGGAAGAAGTGGCTTTGTGTCGAGACGATGCCCTGGCTGGCGGACCATGTAGTCAACGGCGCGACGATTTGTCCTGCTACTGGCATGTTGGTTATGGCTGTTGAGGCTATCCTGGAATATTCAGGTTACAATCAAAGGAAATTGACACTT